GATTTAGGAATTACCGACGAAATGAACCAAAAAAACCCCGAACTCAACAATAACTTTTCTGGCTCCTTAAAAGCCCTCGAAAATTGTAAAGATTTGGAGTGTATGTGCATTGGCAACCAGCCCAACATAAAAGGAGGTTTAGAATTTTTGCCAGCCGAAAAACTTACTTATTTTGGTTGTGACGGAACCGCATTTAAAGCAATACTAAAACCTTTTGATTATGACGTTTATGCTTGACAACTAGTGAATGTGAAACATCAAAATAATAAAGAAAAAGCCATTGTAGAATTAAGCAAAAAGATAAAAGAGAGTGAAAAGAAGTTAGAAGAAGCAAAAGAAAGCGAAGATGATAAAACCCAAAAAATCACTAGATTAGAAAGCCAAATCCAAATTCTAACTGAAAAGGAAAAAGAAAGAATTACAAACTGAAATTGAGAAAAAAAAACAGACCACCAACAAACTAAATCCCAATTAAAAGACCTAACCACCATACTATTTCCTAGTAATAATTGCAATAGTTTTGCTAATTTTGCTTTTGCTAATTTGAAAAGGCAAGCCAGCAAAATCAGCCAAGAAAACCAAGAATCCCAGGTCAAAATCTCAGAATTAGAAACCAAAAATCGAAAGCTATCCGCCCAACTTTCTGAGCAAGAAACGATTTCCGTTAAGGCTTTGATTTAGATTTTCCAAACTTGACATGAGAAATTTTCTTTTATAATTTATTATACATTTTTTTTATTCTGGTGTTCTCTCGACCCTACAGGCCTCGCTCACTTTTCCGAATTTCGTTAAGCGATTATAAGAAACGCCTTCGCAAGTTCAGCAGTAAAACGACATTAGCAGTCTTATTTACTATTCCTCGCTTCGTCTCCCAGTGCTGCGTTTTTTAGGTTTTACGGCCTCTCGGCCTGGGTATAAAAATTAGGGGTTGGAGTTGGCCTGCTTTTTGGCTTTGCGCTAATTACTTCTTTATGATTTTCACCACAATTTTTATCAAAAGATAAATTACGACTATTAAGACTATCAGACCTAAAATTGGTGTTAACAAATCGGGAAAAGGAATAGTCCATCAACTATCATTTTTTTCGGTGTTTTCTCCGTTCCCTCCTTCCTCCTCGGCTTCACTCTCGGTTAACTTCTTTTTTTCTTCATTCTCATTGTTGCCGCTGTCGTCGTTATTGTTAAATTCTTGTTCGTTATTTGGGGGAGAATTGTTTTCTTGCTTGCTTGGTTCGTCTAGGGTGTTGTTTTCATTATTATCGTCGCTTGGGGTGTCATTGAGTTCGTTATTTTCGTCTGAATTTTCTCTATGGTTTTCCTTAAAGTTAGGAGAAAAATTTTCGTTAGGTTTGGGTTCATTGGTTTCGGGCAAAGGCGGGGGATTGTTGGGAATTGGTTTTGGTTGGTTTTGTCTGTCTAGTTGGTGTTGGCGGGAGGTTTGAAACTTTTCGTTTTGTTTGGCTGCTTTTTTATCGCGGGTGGAGGTGGTAAATATTGGGGTTGGGTTAGGGGTGATTGTGGGTTCAATTGGCAAACTTGCGGGGGTAAAATGGTCTGTTGATTGGGTTTCATTTGCGATGGCAAGAGGAGAATTTAATGCTCCTGTTTCAATTAGAAATTTATCCGTGGAAGTGCGGAGGTTTAATGCTTGTTCTAATCCGTATTTTGCTATGCTACTTTTTTGTTTTCGGTAGCATTGCGAACAATAAAATTTTTCCTCCTCGGTAAGAAAATTAGGACAAGTGTAAAACCTACATTTAACTTTTTCGAGTTTGCTGGATTGTGAGGATGAGGAGATTGCGGAAAAATTTTCTGTGTCGGCGACTGGAGAAATTTCGGCTTGTTCGTGGCCGTTATTATTAAAAATTTCGGACGGTTCGCCTACTGGGTAAAATTGAGTTTGGTGCTTAATTCCTCCTGGTTGGTCTTTTAGTTTTTCGGCGGCCGAATGGTCGGAATTTAGTAGCGAGTATTCGTGGATTTTGGTTAAAAAACTATCCTCGGGGTTTTTTTGTTGAGTTTTGGTTTGTTCTCGTTTTTCGGCTTTTTCTCCCGCAGTTAAATCTTGGTCGAAGGCGAGAACTTTATTAACTAATATTTGGTGAGTGGGAATGTAAGCGGCTTCGGGGTGGTTGGGGTCCATTTCGCCGCATTCTTGGATTTTTAAACTCCAATCGTTAATTGCTTTTTCGCGTTCTTTTTCTTTTTTTTTGTTAAGGAGCAGTTGGAGTTTGCTGGTTAAGCGTTCCCTTTTGGTTTTGAGGATAGTTATTCTTAACTCTTTTTCAGTGCTGTCAATTTTTTGGGTCAAGTGCTCGGGGTTAAATTTATTAGGAATATTAACCAATTGCCAAGCATAAACGTCATAATCAAAAGGTTTCAACATTTCTTTAAATTCTGTTCCGTCACAACCAAAATAAGTAAGTTTTTCGGCTGGCAAAAATTTCAAACCTCCTTTTATATTTGGTTGATAGCCAATACATAAATACTCTAAATCTTTACAATTTTCTAGGGCTTTTAAGGA